CATTCTGCCCGTGCTGCCCACATCCCAGCCCTGATTCTTCAGGTGGCACTGTCCTGGGCCCCCCCCCCCCCCCCCAAGGAAGGGGCTTGGAGCTATCTTGGTCACCACTGTGTTCCCTGCATTGTCCAGCACAGAGCCACGCACAAGAATGGCAGCTCAGTGAATGCGGAATGAATAAAGCAGCCTGCTCTGAGCCTGCCTCTACCACAAACTAACCATTACCCCATTACCCCACTGGGCTCTAATGTTCAGAATATGAATTTGAGTCCACACACCCCAGATGCAAAAGAAAAACTTCGCAACACTGGTTTTGTCTTATTTATTTAAGTGCTGTTGTGGGTGGGAGGCACAGTGAAGCCATTTTTTCTCCTACTTCCCCAACACTACATCTAACAACTATCTCTCATAAGTATAAAGATGGTCAGTAGAAAAGGAGTACATCTCCTCAACCCTGGAAGAAAGCATTAGAGCTTCAGCTTAGGGAAGAGGTAGGTGCCTCTTAGGGAAGTTATAGGTGCTGGAGCAGTGGGATAGAGGGGCCGTTAGCCAAACCTCAGGTTTTTAGAGTCTTTGGTCTGGACCATGTTACAAGTCCAGGGTTACAACTAGTAGCCCTATCCACCCTGTGCTTCTGGCCCAAGCCAGGTGCTTTGCAGGGGTCCAGGATCAGATGGAGGTCCTCCCGAACAAGGCAGCTCTGATTCCCAAGGAGGAAATCTGCTTCCCCTGTCTCTGAAGCTCCTCCTTGCTACTGCATTTGCTAGGAGGAAGGAGACAGAGAAGCCCAGGGGTCAGGAGCGGAGGAAGTCCTGAGGCTGGATCAGGTGCACCAAGGAATGAGGTTGTACTGGTCAGAGTGCTGGCACTGAGGCTGGGATGTGGCTGTGGTTTTGGTCAGCAGGAGGTCAGCAGAATACTCCAAGGAGCAGGGAGGATCCCATAGTGCCATGGCAGGGCAGGACAGAGATGAACCACGCCCCAGTCAGCAGTGTCAGACCTTGGGCAGTGTCAGCAGGCCCATCAAATGGTGTCACACCCTCCTCAGAACCTGTGTGCCTCAGCTCTTGAGTGACCCTCAGATGAAGAGATTGGGCTGTCACTCTCCCCAGGTGGATAAGTGGCTCCTGTGTTTGTTCACAAATGATGCCCGGTCCTCTGGGGCAACAAAGATGAACATGACCTGACCCAGGTTATGTCATTCATACGGCCATAGGCACTGTGTCATGCCTGTACACTGTGACATCTGAATTGTATTCTCTCAAGGCATGGTTTAGCTGTGCTTCCAACAGGTCCTCAGAAACCTTCCTGTCTGGTCAGGAGACCTAGTTCTGGTTTTGCTGACTCAGCATGATTCGGCCTTGTCATGCTCCTCCTGAGGTCCTCACAGCCCCTGTATCATGAGGGGGCCAGGCGCTACATGGCCTCCCAAGGCCCTTCTGAGTTTCCACACTGGTCTTATGTTACAACACAACCTCCCGCATCCCTGGAGATCAGCTCCCCCATCGCCAACCTCAGGCCCCCATGGCATCTCAGGGCTCCTTCAGCCAGACTGGCACCATCCAATAAATAAGCCTGGCAGTGGCTAAGTGGTCAACTCTGGGCCAACCCCTGAAGGAGGTGGATCATGTTGTCCAGGCCCCAGAGGTAGCCGTCCTCACGGTTGCCCTCAGTCCAGGGCAGCCTGTGGCTGAGCGTCTGGTGGTCAGGCAGAGCCACTGTCTTGCCAAAGTCGATCATCCAAACCTTGGCCAGGCCATAGTGGTCGTGCACGAATAGAAGGGAGCTGCCCACCACCTGCAGGGGGAGAGACGAAAGGTTAGGAGGAGGGGCAGGCACTGGCCAAGGTCCCTTCCCTGACAGGCAGCACAGCAAGGTAGCTGTCAGCATGAACCCTGGAGTCAGGCTGCCTGAGCTCAAATCCTAGCTGTGCAGCCTTGGGCAGGTGACTTAACCTCTGTGGTTCTGCTTCCTCATATACAAAGTGAGAATAATAATAGCATTTACCTCAGAGGTTGCTGTGCACGTTATATGTATGACTTAATCCATATAAAGCACTTAAAGTAGTTCCCAGTACATAGCAAATGCACAAGTGTTAACTGTTATCCTTTTTTGTTTTTAAAGATGACCAGTAAGGGGATCTGAACCCGTGGCCTTGGTGTTATCAGCACCGCACTCTCCAGAGTGAGCCACAGGCCGGCCCTAACTGTTATCCTTTTTGAAGCCAGAGTGCAAACCCAAATGCCTTCAGGATCCTGAACAAGTCAAGAGAGCCTGGTAGAGACTAAAGACCTGGAAAATGCCTTTCCCATAAAAAACCCAGGTTACTGGGCAGGTGAGCAGGTGCCTGTCAGCTCCAGATGGCTGTTGGCATATGGCAAGCAGCCGGCCCAGTGTGGCTGCATCTCCCAAGTTGTCAAGAGACTTGTCAGGTTTCAGTCAATGAAATCAGAAATCCCAATTATGGTGTGAAGTCTCACATTTTAAATAGTGGCAGCTCATTTTTAAAATGTTAAGTCACGAGGCAGGTGAAACCAAACATGAGGACAGAAGAGATGGGGTCCCCAGGCCTCCTCTTTGTGACTTCCATATAAAGCTTGAACGCAGTGACAAGGATGACAAGGCTGACACTGATAAACATGACAGTAACAGCTGACATATACTGATGGTTTACTATGGGCCAGGCTTTGACTACATAAACCCATTTAAATTTCACAACACCCATGACGCAGGTGCTGCTGTCACCCATCCTACAGGTAAGGAGACTGAGGTCTCCTTAAAACACTGCCCAGGGCCGGCCCGTGGCTCACTCGGTAGAGTGCGGTGCTGATAACACCAAGGCCCCGGGTTCGGATCCCATATAGGGATGGCCGGTTCGCTCACTGGCTGAGCGTGGTGCTGACAACACCAAGTCAAGGGTTGAGATCCCCTTACCGGTCATCTTTAAAAAAAAAAAAACACTGCCCAGGCTCAGGAGACTAGAGAGTGGCAGAGCTGGGATTTGAACCCAGTTGGGCTGACTCCCAGATCAGTGCTCTTTCAGAAATGTCAGTGATATCAGGAAGAAGAGGTGAGAGGGACTTGAGGGGGAGATGGAAGGGCTTGGAGAGAGGAAATGATGCACACAGAGGTGATGTTACCCCTTCACAGACTCTGACACAGCCTCAGAGAAATGAATGTTTCCCAAGAGGGACACTTTGGGAACGAGGGGAAAGGGGAAAGGCAAGAGCTGGCAAACAAGAAAGGCGTACAACAATAATTATAAATAATTATGATTATAAGATCATTGTAAAAGGAAGGAGTTAAATGTGCATCTACGCTCCAAATGTCACCCTATAGTTGCTCTCTCATGCCTCAGCAGCCCTATGAGGAAGGTACTATTGTTCCTTCCCTATGTTAGAGAGGAAGAAACTGAGGCCTGAGAGGGTAAGTCACATGCCCAGGGTCACACAGCAGAGCCATCCTCCACCCCCTGGCCACATGGCTTGAGGCCATGCTCCTGACCGTCCTACCTCCTTGAAATCCTCTTTGCTGGGCCCCAAAACGTGGGGCCTCCTTTTCATAGGTTTGGCCCATAACTCTGTCAACGGTTTCCCCTCCATGTTACCTGGACCATGACACCCCCCACTTATGCCCATGGTGCCAGGACTCGCACCTCATGGGTCTTGAAGAAGGGGGAGTTCTCCAGAGCTTCACGAAGTTCTTCCAGGCGTGCCACGTACTTTCTCTGTGGGTGAGAGAGAAGAATCCTTGAGATTTTGTGGGCCCTTACTCACAAAGGAGAGGGCAGGCTCCAGCCACAATGGGATAAGGTGAGCATGGGAAAAATGGAGAGCTGGGGGAATGAGGGGTTGGCTGCATCAAGGTGGCACAGACAAGAGTGTGGCAAATTACGTGGATACCTACAAATCTTAGCAGCTCCTCTCATCAAGAGGTGGAGTCTGTTACCCTTTCCCTTTAATGGAGGCTTGGTCACATGACTTGCCTTGGCTAATACAATGTGGCAGAAATGATGGTGGACATTCTGGGCCCTGGCATCAAGAGGCCTTGCATTTTCACATGTTTTCTTGGCCCCCAGCTTCCATTGTGAGAACAAGCCCAGGCTAGCCTCCTGGATCACGAGAGACATGACCAAGTCATGAGCCAAGACGGTCAGCCAACCAGCAGACACGTGAGTGAGGCCACCCTGGACCAGCCAGCCTTAGCCAAGACACCAGCTGACCACAGATTATGTGAGCAAAGCCAGCCAGTATCAGCCAAGTCCAGCCCAAAGCAAAAGACCACTGACTCAGGAGCAACAATAAGTGGTGGTGGTCTTAAGCTGCTACATTTTGGGACACGGGTGTCCAGCTCACCAGGATGCCGTGGTCCCTGTCCACAAAGTCCTCCAACACCTTTGTCACCTGCTGCAGTGCCTGTGTCTTCTTAAAGTTGGTGTTACAGGTCCCATCAGCTTTCTGCAGGGCAAGGGGTGAAGGGGCACTGCAATGTCTTTTCCTTCCCACCCCCAACACTGAGCAACCTCAGGCTGACCTGAGACCACCCACCTGTGAACAATGCTTGCTTACTATTCAGGGGAAACCAGCCCATCTGCCCAGCCCAGTTCAAAATAGAACCAAGTCACAGTCCTGAGCAACCAGTCCTTCTAAGTCTAACCTTGAACCTCCTGGTTGAGCCAGTCTAGCAAAATGGGCTTTTGAGGGGGTGTGGATCTGACTTTGACTCGTGATTCTGCTATTTTCTAGGTAGGTGGTTTTAAGCAAGTCACTTCACCTGCCTCTGCATCGGTTTCCTCATTTGGCAAATGGGCACTGTGCTGGTAGGTACTTCCTAAAGCTGGTGTAAGGATTAGAGGAGATTGGGTGTGGAGGATCCAGAGTACGGATCCTGGGACATAGTCAGTAAGCACTCAACAAATGAGACTAACGTTATCTTTCATGTTTGAGAGGAGCACAGAGAAGCCGCCTGAGTCATTCCACTACACTGGGCCAGGTGCTGTGTGGGCACTGGTAACATGGAGGTAAGAAGACAGCCACAGTCAGATGAGGGAGGCAGATATTAAGATCATCACAAAGGAAGCTAAGAATAATGAAGGAGTATAGGGAGCTATGAGGAGATAAAGAGGGGGGCCCTTATCTAGTAGGATGGAAATCAGGGAGGGCTTCCATGAGCAAGCAAAATTTGAAAGGACACAGAAAAATGACTGAGAACCAACCAAGGGAAAAATAGAAGGAAGAACATTCGTAGTGGAGGGAACAGCATGTGCAGTGGCCCTATGGCAGGAAAAAGCAGGCCTATTTCAAGGAAATGAAAGTGCTTCACTGCGGCCTGACAGTAGACAAGGAGGAAGAAAGGAGTGAGAGATGGCACTGGATCCTGGAGGGCCCTATAGGCCATGGAACTTCTCCTGAGGGTACCATGGAAGGATTCTGAATGGCACAGTCAGAAAGATGACTCAGGCAAGGCCTTCAGGAAACAGGCACTCTTATACTTTGCTGGTGGGATGCACAGAGGTACAACACCAAGAAAAGGAGTTTGGTAATCTCTGGCAAAATTATCAATGCATTTAATCTTTGACCTAGTAGTCCTACTTCTAGAAATCTAGTCTACGGCTAAACCTACGCATTTGCAGAATGCCTTATGTACAAAGTGATTCACTGAGGTATTGTTTGTAATGGCAAAAAGTGGAAACAACCCAGGTGTCCATCGGCAAGGGACCGTAGCACATCCACAAAGAGAATATTACACAGCTATAAGTAAAAGAAAGAGAGAGGAGACTCTCTATGGGATGATACAGAAAATTCTCCAGAATATTACTGTTAAGTGAAAAAAGCAAAGTGCCAATCAGTGTGTGTACTGAGGAAAATTAAGGGTATACAATTACATTTATTTGTATTTTCAGGAAGAAATACAAGAAACTGACCAAGTGATTTCCCATAAGCAGGCAGCAGGATGGAGGGACAGAATGGGAAGAATTGCAGAAGCTCAGGTGAGAGATTTCTCCATATATACTTTTTTTTTTTCGCTTTGAGTCATTTGCTTTTCCTAATATTATTTTAAACTGTATGAATAAAGAAAAAAAGAAAACTAAAAGAAAAAAGTAAAAATAAATAAAATTTTAAAAAATATAAACTGTGTGAATAGCTATTCAAACAATTTTATTTATTTATTTGTTTATTTATTTATTTTTTGGTGGCTGGCTAGTACAGGGATTGAGCTTGCTGTTATCAGAACCATGCTCTAACCAGTTGAGCTAACCAGCCAGACCTCAAACAATTATATTTAATTTTAAAAAAAAAAAGGAATGCAGGAAGAAAAAATAGAAACCTCCTTCATGGGAGGGAGTGGGGGAAGGATCCCTCCAGCTATTGTGTTGGATGATGGATCAGAGGGAATGAGACCAGGGTCCAGGAGCCCAAGGAGGCTGGAGCAGAAAACAGGGCTGGACTAGAACATGGCCATGGGGAGGGAGAAGAGAAGATGGACTCAAGAGATGCTCAGGCAGACAGAGAAACAAAACTTGGGTTCTGATGGATATGGGTGTGACAGAGAAGTGGGACCTCTCCCAGCCCCGGCCTTTTCATCCTCTGCAATCCCCTGCTCTCTCTCCAGACTTACTTCTTTCCAGCTTCCCTTGATACCCATGTTCCCCAGGGAGCCTGCCTCAGATCTAGTTCTAGGCCCTCTAGTGACAGGCTAGCAGCTCCTCATCCTCACCTTGATGCCCTCAATCCGGAAGCCCAGGGTAGAGGTCGAGCTTATGGTTTCCCTCCACTGCATGTAGCGGGGCTTGGTGACTGCACCCTGAGCATGCTCCTCGGGGGTGGGAGCGCCAGGGTCCACAGCCACCATCTTCTCATACATGTCCTTCCGGGGCCGAGGCCGCTCTCGTGCCTTCATCAGCTCCTCCTCCAGGTAGGTTCTAAGCACACAGAGGATGTGACAAAGGAAATTATGAGAACAAAGCTGGAGGGCTTATCCTGATATGTGGTACAAGAATGGACAGATAGATCACTGGAATAGAACAGAGTTCACAAACACACACACATATGTATATTCACCCAGTTTATGACAAAGAAGACACTGCAATTCTGTGTGGAAAGGGAAGTTTTTCAATAAATGGTGTTGAGCCAATAGGCTATCCATACGGGAAAAAATAAACTTCATCCTTACCTCACACTATACATAAAAATTAACTATAGATGGATTGCCAATCTCAATGTGAAAGTTGAAATGAAAAAGCTTGCAGAAGAAAACATAGGAGAATATCTTTATGATCTTAGAGTAGGCAAAAATTTAAACAAAAATCTACTAACAATAATTTTAAAAATGGAAAAACAACTAAATTAAAAGTATTTTTGTTCATCAAAAATCATTACTAAGGGAAAAGGGAAAGCTAGAGAATATATGCATATGTTTGTGTGTATACTTGTATTTATATATATGAAGGTACTTCAAAAAGTTTATGAAAGGATTAGTATTTTTTTAATTCCATTTTTCCACAAACTTTTTGAAATACCCTCATATAGATATATAAAGGACATATATCCAGAATATATAAAGGATTACAAATCAAAAGGAAAAAGACAGACAGTCATACAGAAAAATGGGCAACAGAATCAAAGCGCACTGTTTACAAGAAGACTTCCAATAGTAATCAACATATGCAAAGATATTCAATTTCTTTGGTCATCAGAGAAATAGAAATTAAAACCACAATGACATACCACTACCTACCCATCAGAATGGTTTAAATTAATAAAACAGACAATACCAAGTGCTGGTGGGAATATGGAAAAACGGGGCCCCTCACACACTATTGGTGGGAGTGTATGCTGTTATAACCACTTTGAAAATTGACTAGGCACTATTTTTTTTTTTTTTTTTAAAGATGACCGGTAAGGGGATCTCAACCCTTGGCTTGGTGTTGTCAGCACCACGCTCAGCTAGTGAGCAAACCGGCCATCCCTATATGGGATCCGAACCCGGGGCCTTGGTGTTATCAGCACCACACTCTCCCGAGTGAGCCACGGGCCGGCCTTTTTTTTTTTTTTTAAAGATGACCGGTAAGGGGATCTCAACCCTTGGCTTGGTGTTGTCAGCACCACGCTCAGCTAGTGAGCAAACCGGCCATCCCTATATGGGATCCGAACCCGGGGCCTTGGTGTTATCAGCACCACACTCTCCCGAGTGAGCCACGGGCCGGCCTTTTTTTTTTTTTTTAAAGATGACCGGTAAGGGGATCTCAACCCTTGGCTTGGTGTTGTCAGCACCACGCTCAGCTAGTGAGCAAACCGGCCATCCCTATATGGGATCCGAACCCGGGGCCTTGGTGTTATCAGCACCACACTCTCCCGAGTGAGCCACGGGCCAGCCCTAGGCACTATTTTCAAAAATACGCACTCCCTACCCCCATGGCTGCCCCTGAACCCACCTGCTGCCCATCTTGCAGTCCATGATGGAAGGGCCCTCGAAGTCTGCCAGGAGATCTTCCATCTGGTTGAACACCTGGCCATCCCGCTGCACCATGCCATAGTAGGCTGGCACAAAAGGCCGCAGAGGGTCTTCCATCAGCTGTTCCAGGCTGCGCTGCTCACACTGACAGAAACGTTTCAGAATCCGACCATTCTCTCCTGCCTGGAAGTTCCCTATGGGCAGCAGGGTCAATGACAGGATCAGAAACTGGATCAGAAAGAGGATCCCCCCATCTCCTTGTATGCATCAGATCCTGGCCACCATCACCTTGCCTGACCCTCCTGAAATGTTGTCTCTCCCTCCCTGCAACTCAAAATCTTGGCCAGTGATGGTGAGGGAAGGGCCTATTTCTGCTCTCTGCTACTTAAACAGAGTGCTATTCACAGCACAGTGTGTCCTTGCTTTGTAATTCTAGATTGTAAGCTCACAATAATTTGTGAGAATTTTGTGAGATCTGAGTTAATAGCATGACTCTCCAGAGTGGATTTCCATTTGCTTCTGCCTGGAGTCCCTGGGTGCTAACAACTGGGGCATATTTAAATTAATTTATAAATTGGGCATTTCCTGGACATGCAGATAGTGCAGATTAGAATTCCAAATTCTGATTGGGCCAGACTGTATTTTCAGATCATAATTTCCAAAGATGGCTGCAACTATATCCCTGTCCCACATGCTCTTCTAGAATTTTCAAGAAGTGGAGCCTAATACCCTCCTCTTGAACTTGGGAGAGCTTATGGCAGAAGTGACACTGCATGACTTTAGAGTCTAGGTCATAAAAGGCAATACAGCTTCCACTTTGTTGGCGGAGACATGCCTTTGCAGTCCTGAGCTGCCATGTAAGAAATCTGACTATTCTGAGGCCACCATACTGTGAGGAAGCCCAAGCAGCTACATGGAAAAGCCATAAATAGATTTTCCGGCTGGGAGCCTCAGCTGAGACCCCAGCCAACAGCCAGCATCAACTGCCAGGCATATGAGTGAATGAAACTCCAAAAATTTTCAGCTTTCAGCCTTTGAGTTGTCCTAGCTGAGTTCTCAGATATTATGGAGCAGCAACAAATCATCCCTGCCATGAGTCCTTGTCTGAATCCCTTACCCAAAACTCGGGAGCATAATAAAATGGTTGTTTTATTCTACTAAGTTTTTTGTTAACCGCCAATAAGTTTTGACTTTATTTTGTTTTTGTTTTTTAAACTCAGCAATAGTAACTAGAACACATATAGATGGCAGGCTTGTGTTTACACAGTCTCAGGGGGACTCACCTTTTCTCCAACTCAGATCTAAGGACGAACAAGGCAGACAAGTTCCCTTATTGTCTCCTTTGCTGGTGGGCACAATTTGCCAGTCCAGCACACTGCTTGTTTTTGTAAATAAAGTTTTATTGGAACACAGACATATTCGTGTGTTTACATGTTGTCTGTGGCTGCATTTGTGCTCCAACAGCAGAGCTGATGCAAGAGAGACCATGTAGCCCACAATACCTAAGAGATATTATCTAGCCCTTCACAAATGTGTTACATGCTAGGCAGTGTGCTACTATGTGCTGGAGACATTTGCTAGATCCTGGGGGAAAACCATTATAGCTGCTATTTATTGAGGGCCTACCATGTCCTCCCTGGACACAGGGAGAGGGCAGGGAATGATAATTCCCATTTGAAGTGCCTCAGTCTCGATATATATTTTGATTTTAACTCTCCAGTTAACCCTGCAAGTGAAGTAAGATTATCTCCATATTAACATATGGGAAAACTAAGGCCTAGTATGGGGAAAGTAAGTTGTCCAGGGGCACTTCCCATAACAGCCCCATGAGGTGGGGACTCACCAAGCCCATTTTATAGGTGGGAAAACTAAATTACAAAGAGAAGCCCTTTCCATAGCTCAGGCGTCTCTAGCCAGCCCTGTCCACCCACCACTCCCGTTCTCACCAGCATGTCCAGAAAGTTGGACCCAAGGGTAGTGTTTACGGTAGGAGATCACGAAGGGTGAATACTTCAGAACAGTCTTCAGCTTCTTCCATGGCTTGCTCTGTGTGGGGCAGAGCAAGGTGGGGTCAGAGCCAAGGCCAGGGAGGGAAGGGGCTGGGGGTACTGTGATGAGAGAGAACCCAGGTGGACCTGGGGTCTTCTCAGGACCAGGGGGCTTTGATGTTCCCCAGTTTGTTGGGGTGAGTAAACCCCACTTAGTTCAGCAACCATGAGATCCCCCAAAGGCCTCAGCAAAGGTGGGGTAAGTTCTCTGTCCATTTCTCTGTCTCCGTCATCATTTTCTCTGTATCTGTTTTTCTCTCTGGCCTTCTCTTATAAGTAAGGATAGGCCAGGTTGTTTGTTGCAGGAACAAACAACATGCCAGGGAAAATGACAGAGGCAGGAGTTGGTGGATGGAGGCCAATTACAGAGAGAGAGAGAAACAGAGAGCCAGATGACAAACTGATAACAGAGAGACAGGGACAGAGACGGAGACTGCAGCAGTCATGAGAGCTGTTCACCAAACAACTCCAGCTCTGCCCTTTTCCAGAGACGTCCCTGCCCTCTTGAACTGAGGTTATTGACTTGATTTGGCCAGTGAACTGTGAGCAGAAGTATCACTTTTGGGTAGAAGCCTAACAGCCAGTTTGTGACTGTCCATGTTTGTTCCTCTGCTAGGGACAAAGGTGAGGGCAGTGGAAAGAGAAATGGCAGCTCCCTTGGCCTGGGCCCCTGAGTGAAGACAGCATGAAGCAGAGCCCCATTACCCACCCCTAACCTCTCGCTTATGTGTAGTATAAATAATCTTTTGTTGTTCTAAGTCACTAAGATGTGGAGGCTGTTTGTTACTATAGCAAATCCTGACCTACCCTGACTAATACAGAGACAGGCATAGAGTTGCTAAAAGACAAAGAAATATAGAAAGACAGAAGGAAAAGCCCAGATATAAAATAATGACAGAGAAAGAAAAAGATGGATAAAAGCAGATAAAGATAGAGAGAGAAAACCACAGAAAACCAGAAAAGGATTAGCTGTATCATGAACAAGGAGCTTCTTGAAACAGGGTCTGATTCACACACACACACGTGCGCGCGCATACATTCTCTGCCCCCAGCACATAGAAGACCCTAGCAAGTATTTTTTTTTTTTTTTTGTGACCAGTAAGGGGATCGCAACCCTTGGCTTGGTGGCGTCCACACCGCACTCAGCCAGTGAGCGCACCCGCTATCCCTATATAGGATCTGAACCCGCAGCGGGAGCGCTGCTGCGCTCCCAGCGCCGCACTCTCCCGAGTGCGCCACGGGGTCGGCCCGGACCCTAGCTAGTATTGGGAGAGTGGGCTGCCTTCAGAAAAGGAAGCTGTGTGGCTTATCCTCCTCCTAGCCCGAAGTCAAGGCATGTTCTCTCCCACCACTTCAGAGCCCAGCTACCTAGCAGACACCTAACTGATAGTAGGAAGGTTAAACAGGGAGTCAGGATGTTGGACTGCGGGACTCAGGAAGGGCTATTCCCTCCCTGCTCCAGCTGCCAGCCATGGGGCAGAGATGATTAATAAAGGTTCCTGTTTATTAAGCACCTGGAACATTCCAGGCACAATGACAAATACTCAGTGTGCCATAACCTACTTAACCCTAAAAACACAACCCCAGGAAGATCTTTGTCTCTGTGTTACAGAGAAGGAAACAGAAGCCCAGAGAGGTGAAGCCACTTGCCTAACATCACCCAGCACAATGCTGGGGTTCTAGCTCTGTTTTGACCCTAGTGCCCTGAAGTTAACCCACTACACTCCTGCTGAACCACTAACTCATGAGAGCAGAGACTAGAGTTATCATGGTCACCACTGTGTCCCCAGCACATGGTCTGGCACACAATAGATGCTCCAAAAACTGTTGCTTGGATTGAGGGAGATTAGTTGAAACAGTCTTTTTTTCTTCTATTATAAACAAATTTAGTATTTTATCTCTCCTCTCTGATTTTTGGGTTTTTGTTTTCTTTTTTATTTTTGGCAGTTGGCCAGTACAGGGATCAAACCCTGGACCTTGGTGTTATCAGCACCACACTCTAATCAACTGAGTTAACCAGCCAGCCATCTTAGATATGATGGTTAATCTAGGCTTTCTCAGATGGTTTCATGATGGCCTCAGCTCACATGCCCCCTCCTCCAGGAAGCCTTCTCTAATACTCCAGATCTGGCCAGTCACCTCCTGTGGGCTTCCCCCCATCCCAGCCCTGACCACTGTGAGCTGTCACTGTCTGGTAATGGGTCTGTCTCCCCCGCTGGCCAGAGAGCCCCATAAGGGCAGTGTTTTGGTCACTGCTGTGTCCCCAGCAAAGCGAACATAGGGCCAGACATATAGTAGGGGCTCAGGGACTGACAGCTATCTGATTAGGAGGACAAGATGGTGAGAAGGAAGGAGGAAAGGAAGGAAGGAGGAAAGGAAGGAAGGAGGAAAGGAAGAAAGGAAGCTGGGCCTTTAAGGTCAGATGGGATTTCAAAAGTAAGTAAGAAGGAAATGAGGATATTCTGGGCAGCGGGAACAGCTTGAGCAATGTGTGGAAGCAGATGGCAGCAGGGTGTTCAAGGAATAGTGTGTACTTAGGCTTAGTTACAGCAAAGGGGGTCGGGAGGGGACAGGGAAGCCAAACCCAGGAAGAAGCCTGAAGACAGGAGGCTCTGAATACAGCACTGAGCTCCTGATTAGTATGGAGTCCTGGGGAGCCATGGAAGGCATTAGAGCAGGGAAAGTGTCTGGTCAGATCTGGACCACAGAGGCAGATTCTGGAAGGATGAGGAAAAGCTGGAGATAGGGAGGCCTGGGAGGAAGGCAAGTTAGAAACAGATCCACACATCACAGGGATTTAAATGATGTGTTTGAAACTTGGGGAGAAACTTAGGGAGTTAGAGTCCTGGTTCTGACTTGACTTGGCCAACCCTAATCGAGTGACCTCACCTCTTCACCTGTCTTTGCCTTAGTTTCCTAACCTGTAAAATGGAGGTAATAATAATCTCAATCTCATAGTGCTGTTGTAGGATTGAATTAACACATATAAAGCACTTAGAATAGTGCCTGGTATCCAGTAAGGGTTTTCAACTCTCTGTCTTCCAAGGTGTGTGACCTTGGACATGTGATTTAACCTCTCTGTGCCTGAGTTTCCTCATCTGTAAAAGGGATAATAGTATCCACCTCCTAGGGCTGCTGTGAGAAGTGAGTTAATAAGAACAAAGAGCTTAGTGCAAGGCTGGGCACCAGTGCTAGCTGCTGTTGTTATTATTATCATTCACCCACTTCTAGCTCAGACTTTCAAAGATACCAAGGAGGAGAGGGCAGGCAGAGAGAAAAGCAATGGCAGAAAGCCCTGGAGGGTCAGCTCCTTGGCATGGACATAAGCATGTTGAAGCAGGTCTGACCATCGCAGCTGAGGCCACACATGTGAACACGTCCCTAAGGGAGGCATGTGGGGTGTTGGGGGTTCAGAGCAGACTCCAGCCAGGGGCCCAGGACAGTGGGAGGACTCAGCAGGCAAGCTGGCAACTGGTGGACTATGCTCCCAGACCTAAACGAGGTTCTGCAGTTTCGAACCTGCCTTTCCTCTGACCCTCCCTCCCTGAACCTGCCCTGCCAGCCCTCCTGATTCACCAGGTAAACCACACCCAAGCTTGGGGTTAGGGTGGAGAATGTAAACAAGAGTTTCTGCAGGGGGCCCTTTGGGGACCTGGGGGCAACAGGGAGACTAGGCAGGTCCCTGGCTAGGCTGAGTAACCCTTAGCATTCTTGGCTTATACAGCCCTTTGAGAATCTGATGAAAGCTGAGGCTCACTTCACTCCCTAGAATAATGTACAAATAGTCTAAGGGGTGGTAAAGTTTCATGACCCCTTAAGGCAGCTACAGGCCTCAGACTAAGAAATCTGGGGTAGAAAGTGCACTATTTCTGTTTCCCCTATTCCAGTTCTTCAGATTTTGGGGTCGCAGACTCTCCAGAGGATTCAACAGAAGTCATAGACCCTTGCTGCAAAAATATATGTGACACTGGGCCGAGCCCGTGGCGCACTCGGGAGAGTGCAGCGCTGGGAGCGCAGCAGTGCTCCCACCGCGGGTTCGGATCCTATATAGGGATGGCCAGTGCACTCACTGGCTGAGCGCGGTGAGGCCGGTCTCAAAAAGGACAAAAAAAAAAAAAAAATTATGTGTGACACACACAGACTCACACAATCGTATGATTTCAGGGGTTTCTGGGCACCATGAAGCCAGTCAGTGGCCCTTCATGGCAGACCTCAGGGCTGGAGGCAGTGGGGAAAGGGGAAAGGAGAGAATTGGGGGGGAGGCGGGTGTCTCTGGAGTGGATTAGAAACCACTGTCTAGAAGAGGAGGAGGAGGTCAGTGGATGGAAGAGGTGCCTGGAGATGAAATTGCTGGTGGACAGCTATGAGTAAATTCGTAGAGAACTTAAGCAAAGGCAGAGGTATGAGGCCGGCCTGTGGCTCACTCAGGAGAGTGTGGTGCTGATAACACCAAGGCCATGGGTTCGGATCCTATATAGGGATGGCCGGTTCGCTCACCTGGGAGAGCGTGGTGCTGACAACACCAAGCCGAGGATTAAGATCCCCTTACTGGTCATCTTTAAAAAAAAAAAAAGGCAGAGGTATGAGAGGTCTGGGGGAATGTGGCTTAAGGGCAGAATGGGTCCCACTCACCCCAGACCCGTCCTCGGGATCGCTGGCACCTCCGCCCCCAGCCACCACGTCATCCTCAGACTCGTCAAAAGAGGAGGCAGAGGATAGGCCGCCACTGCCCCCCTCAACTTGGGATGGGGGTTCCACTGGCTGGGCCTCAGGTTCCGGGGTCTCAGGGGTGATGATGAGGCGGGGCACAGGGCACAGGGGGCTATACTTCAGGTGAGAGTACAGGTGAGTCACCAACTCCCCAGTTTCTGGTTCCTCTAATGGGTCATCTTGGTCGGGCTCCCCCAAAAGGCAGTCTGTCCCAGGCGCCGTCTGAGGGCCATCAATATTTTGTGCTGGGAAACCATAAGTGCCAGCCTGTTCCCAGGCTGTTGCAGCATCCTGTTGAGTCTGGGAGCCATCAGCACTTGGCTCTGTTGAGGGAAAGGCTCCCTCTGGGTGAGTCCGGAAGCTGGACCTGCTCTGGTGGGTCCAGAGGTTATCGGCCCAGGTCTTGGCCCTCTCTGGCTGGGTCTGTGACCCATATGTTCTTAGCTCTGTCCAGGGCCCATCAACCGCTGGCTGTGTCCAGACTCTGGCCCTCTCTGGCTGAGACTGAAGGTCCGACCTGTGTGGATGAGTCCAAAAGCCATCTGTCCCAGTCTCCGTCCAGGAACCGGCCGTCACCAGCTCTGAACAGTGGCTGCTCCTTTGGGGATGTGCGCAGAGGCTGGACCTGGCTAGCTCCGTCTTTTGACTGGGCCTCTCCGTCTCTACTCCGAGGCCAGCTGCTTCGGGCTCAGCTTGTCCGTCTATCCAGGATTCTGTCCCCGGCTCAGGCCCGAAGCCGGCCCTCTCGGGCTCGGTGTGGAGGCTGGAACCTTCGGTCCGGGCCCAGGGCCCGCCCCCCTCCGGCCGTCCCGCCGGGCCCCCGGCGCCGGGTCCAGGTCGCTGCTGTCCGGGCTGCCGCCGCCGCCCCCCTCTCGGCGCCTCCCGCCCCATGCGGGCCGCCGCGGGCAGCGCCCCCGCCTCCGCCTCGCTCAGGCTCCCCCGGCACGGGCAGCGCCTCATGCCCTCTCCCTGAGTTCGGGCTTCGGCTGACCCGGCCCCTTCTTCCCCTTTAAATCCCGCGAGGGGTGTGGCTGGGGAGCCCCGACTCCCAGGTTCCGGTCCGCGGCGCTCCAGCCTGCCCGGCCGCGTAGGAGTTAACCGATACGCCCTCCTCCCGGGGAAAGCCCTGAAGCCCCGCCCCACCGGACGTGACGCATGGGGGAGGGGCATTGCCCAGCTCCGCCTGCCTCCTTCTATCGGAGCTGCCTACCAACGTCGGAGGCTCTATCAGGTTGCGTCTGGGGCGCTGGGATCCTGGTCTACACCCTCCGTGACTAATCCAACCTCCCTACACTCTCGAGTGACCGGCTCAGCCTTCCTACAACCTCTGGCGACGAGCCCAGTCGCGCGCCTATTCTTCACCTAGGGGAAGGGCGTACTTTAAAAGACTTGGGGATTCCACAGATAGAAACCCGCCTCTGCCACTTTTAGCTGTGTTACCTTGAGTGACTTACGCCTTATTGAATTTCTCGTAAGAGATCGCTTCCATGTATAAAACATTAGTTCTGTACCAGGCCCTGACACCGTTTCACTGCTTCTCTCTCACTAACGCTGAGCAAAAAGGGATGCCATGGCCCCATTTTACAGATGGGGACGCTGAGGCTCAGCGGTCTTACAGCCTCTAGCTATTGTTTGTAGCCATGGGGCTATTTAATATGACCTCATGTATACGAAGCACGGGGCGCCAGGGCTAGCAGTGTCAGCAAAAGCCCTGTAGAATTATTGTCATAGGTATTTTTTACATATTTTGCCCTCAAGTGTGAGCTGCCACCTAGCTCCTGAGTCAGACCCTCACGACTGAAAGGGAATGGGAGGGTGGGAGGGTTCTGTCTTGAAATTGAGTCACTCGGGGGAGGGGCATTGGGCACAAGCCCAAGGTTCTAAAATGAGTCATCTCTTCACAGACCAATAAGAAGTCAGAGGCAGGAGCCCACATGGTACAACATACAGGTTGGGAGTCTGAGGTCCAGAGAGGGCGAAGGGTTCTTCTGAGGTCACACAACACAGGGATAGAGATAGGGAGGCCTGATAGGGTTGGACAGAGGCAGTGGGGTGTTGTGGGGGAGAATCTGCATCCCTCCCTATCCCAGCAGTGGAAGACAGTCCCCAATCAGCTGCTTCTATTACAGACTGAAAAGAGAGGTGAGTCAGCCTGTTGGGGGATAGTGGGGGGAGAGGGAAGGCTGGGGGCGCGCACACACCCAGATGGCTGGGAGCTGGTTTTCTGGGATGCCAAGATTCCTGACTCAGCTCTGGGAATCTTGGCTGAGTGTGTTCTGGGAAATGTCAGGCCTACAGGAAATAGTGGGCTCCCACTCACGCCATCCCGCAGGTGGGCGGGGAGCAGAGAGAACAGGGTGTGTGAGGGAACACAGGGGCTCAGTCTGCAAATGAGGGGGTTTATGTACACGGGAGAGTTGAGGGTGTGAGCGGGAGACAGTTGGCGAGCAAGGCAGGGGGTTTATGTGCGCAAGGAAGGAGGTTGGGTGCCAGGCTGTGGGTGTGTGTGCAAAGTGGAAAGGCTCCATGTACAAGGGAAATGTTTGCTGGGAAGAATGAGTGTTCAAAGGAGAGAGGTTAAGCCTGCCTGTAGTAAAAATTAAGGTTTGCAAGATGTTCGTGCAGAGGAGAGGTGTGGAGTTTGTAAGAAAGGGAGAGTGATGTTGCAAGAAAGACAGTGTAGGGAACAGAAAGGTTCGCCGCGTACAAGGCACTTTGAAGTGAATGGAAGGGCATAAAGGGCACGTGTGCATTCCCTTAGTGCCCCAGCAATCCCAGGCAGGCCGCGAGCCCACCCCCAGCGCCTTGGCCCCGCCCCTATCCCCGCCCTCCCTCACAGTAGGGCGGGCTTCGTGCCAGTCAGCAACCGCTTCTCCACCATTGGCTAGATGACCGGAGGGGGCGGGCGTGCAGAGGTTCCCGGAAACACAGGAGGCCCCCGCCAGTTGCGGACCCAGAGCCACCGAGCAGTGGGTGCTTAGCAACGGTGGGAGGTGTCCACTAACGGTATCGAGGGGGACACCCGAGGAATTGTGGGTGCCTAGCAACAGAGGGGACGGTGGTGCCTAGCAACGAGGGGGTGTCAGAGAAGTGGAGAAGTAGTCCTAGAGGATCTGTGGGTGTCTAGCAACGAGGGGAGGACCCTAGGAACACCGCGGTGTAAGAGAGAGGGAAAGTGGGTTTGGGAGGCCCACAGGAAGAGCAACAGGTTTCTAACAACGAGGGGGTTAACCAGGAGAAACTGGGAGTCCATTAACGGGAGAAATTCTTTGGTGGGTGGGAATCTTAGAGAGGGTGGACACAGGGGGCCATGGGGGTCTGGCAAAGAAAGGGAGCAAAGCAGGGAGGCTAAGTCCTACAACTCCTGCCCGAATAATACCTCTTCTTCCCCCAGGCAATGTGGCTGGAGGTGGGGGGCTTACTGCGGGGGACCTGTGGACAGCTGGGCCGGACTGTTGTTTTGCCTTGTGGGGCTCTAGGGCCTGGGCCCCACTGGTGGGTAAGAGGCTGGGGACAGGTGCTCCAAGTGGAAGAGACTGCGGGAGGCTTAGCGGGTAAAGGACCAGGATGGTTTCATAAGGGGCAGGCAGACCCCGTGTCCTCCACTCCTTACCAAAGTTCACATCTCTTGCAGGGGTCATGTGGGGGTTCTTGGGCCCAAAAATTGCATCAGGATGGGCCTGGAAGAGGCCTGGGTGAGGAGGACATTCACAGAGCACGGGAGGCCCGGCTCAGGAAGACACCCCGGCTTCAGGTACCATTGCCACCCATACGCCCAGCAATACTCCGTGAAGGTGCTGTCCCCCTAAGCTTGGGGAAGGGTGCAGTGGCAGGTTGGTTGGACTTCCTGGGCACTATGTCCACCTTCCTGCCCTCAGACCTTTTCCCCATTTCCCAGCTGAGTGACCGCTCTCGAGAACGCAAGGTGCCCGCCTCTCGCATCAGCCGCTTGGCCAACTTTGGGGGTAGGTGTGAGTTTCGATGATCTAGGTGTGACCTAGATCAGAGGAGACAACATTTACAGAATGAAGCAAGGGAGAGGGTGAATCAGAGACAGAGAGGAGGGAAAAGCAGGAAAAGAGAAACGAAGGCAAAGGCCTGCAAAACCCAGAGAAATAAAATAAAGAGGACATGAATGATGATGTAACATTTACTGAAAACCTGTAATGTGCAGGGCCTTCCACACATGCTCTCACTGCTCTGAATCGATGAGTGCTTCTTTCCATTCAATAGATGAGGAAATGGAAGCTAAGAGAAGTGAGATAACTTGACTCCAGGTTACACAGCAGGATTGTTCAAACTTCAGGCCACAACCTGCATGAAATAACTTAGTGGGTTGCAACCAGCATTTAAAAAGAAGAGTAGAAAAGAAAATATGAGTGTACTTTGGTATATCAAGGGAAAGTCTTGTTTTTTGAAATGTATATATGTTGGTCTGGACTGGTTATAGTGTAAATGTCTTTTTTACTGTGGATCATGGCTCGAGTTTTAACGATACTGCTTCACAGTCTGAAGAGGCAGTCAAGTGCACTTCTGAGAGCTTTGGCTCCAGGCTATCCAGGGTTCAAGAGGTGACTCTGCTGTGTCCTCACTTTGTGACTCTGGGCGAGTTACTTAACTTCTCTGAGCCTTGATTTCCTTTTCTGTACAATGAAAGTTTTTCTGTAAAACATATTCCACCAGGGTGTGAGGACAAAATGAGTTAATGCATATAAGGTACTGGGAATAGTACCTAGCATGTAGAAAGCACTCAGAAAATGCCAGCTACAATAATGTACAGAGATGGTGACAGTGAAAGAGGCAGAGAGACCCAAGATATCTTTAAGGACCAAGAAGAGAGAGGAAGCAGAGGAAGTCAGAGCCAGAGAGATAACATCAAAGGGAGGAACAGAGAGAAGGATGTGCCAGGTGGAGAGAAAGGGAGAGGTAGAGAAATAACTGACTTAGAAAAGGAGAGGTGAGCATAAAGAAGAGAGGTATGAACAGAGAAACAGAAGACAGAGAGACCTGGGGTGATCATTTCAGGACCTTCTTAACTTTGTCTATACATTAGAATCATCTGAGATGTTAAAAAAAAAAAAAAAGTACAAACTTCCAGGCCTCATCTTACTTAGGCCAGTTGTTTAATCAGAATCTCAGCGGTGGGTGTAGGCATCACATTAACAAGAGCTCCTCTGGTGAATCCAATGTGCAGCCAGAGCTGAGAACTGCTGGGAGGGAGACAGAGACATGGAGAGAGGGGAAAAGAAAGAAGTATCCTCACCTCAAGGGGAACTCCACGCAGGAAGAGAGTAAGAGACTGAGTTGGAGTGAGAGAGACGGAGAGAGTTGGCAACAAAGACTTGGGAGACAAGCGTACTTAGAGACTGAGAGAGGAGAGAGGGTCGGGGGAACACCCAGGCAAGCAGGCACTCAGGCTCCCTTCTTGCTCTCCAGGACTGGCTGTGGGTCTGGGGCTGGGAGCACTAGCCGAGGTGGCCAAGAAGTCCCTGCCAGGAGGACATCTACCGTCAGGTGAGTGAGTCACACTGCCTGGGTTCAAATCCTGGCCTTGCTGTGTGACCTAGGGCAATTGGCTTCACCTCTGTGAGCCCCAGTTTCTTCATTTGGAAGATGGAAGTGACGATAATACAGCCACCTCTTAGACTCATTGTGAGTCTTAACCCTATAGGGCTAAGCCACTATAAAGGTCATGATTAATAGAAGCATATCATCTGAGAAAAAGTTTAACTCATTGGGAGTTCCTAACTCTGAGCAGAAGAGGAAAACTGAAAATAGGAGGGCCAGCGGGGGTCTGTGTACCACAGAGATGGAATTAAATGTGTAGCATTTGTGAATAAGATTCCTCACAAGTCAATGTCTTGAAACAAAAGTGGGGGAGGATATTCTACATTGAAAGGAGACTAAAGAGGCATTAACTGACAAATAGAGTGTGTGAACCATGATTGGATGTCAGCTTGAGAAAAACAACTATAAAAGACTGTTGGAGGACAATTGGGAAAATCTGAATATGGACTGGATAGGATAGTAGATATTAGGGAATTAGTGTTAATTGTCTTACATATGATTGTGGTATTGTGATTGTGTAGGGAAATATTTTCAGCATAGGTTAAGTGCAACTACATGCAACTTCAGGAAAAAAAAATAATAGTGTATGGGTACACACACAACAGATAAAACAGATGCGGCAGAATGTTACAATGTTAAATTGAGGTGGTTATACATGCAACTTTTCCTTCTGGATTTTAGGTTTGCTTTTTTTTGTTTTGGTGGCTTGCCAGTAAAGGGATCCGAACCCTTGACCTTGGTGTTATCAGCAGTACTCTCTAACCAAGTGAGCTACCAGGCCAGCCCTCTGTCTCTGTCTGGGTTTTTTTCAAAATAAAAAATTGAGGGTGGAGGATTAAACTTTAGGGTGAGGCCAACCTGAGTCTACACCCTGCTCTGCCACTTCAAGCTGTGTGACCCAGGGCTAGGTGCTGCACCTCGCTGAGTCTCTTGGTTCCTCACCTTGAAAATTAAGGCATTGGTAGTTCTTACTTCCTGGGTTGACTGTGGGGATTCAGCCAAAGAATCCACAAAGACACTTAGAATTCTGCCTACCACAGGGTGAGCATTCAATAAAGAGTTTAATAATTTTTTTATGAAATAAATAAAATCTAAAAGAGAAAAAAAAGAAAAAACAAAAAAAGAACAATATATAAAAAAAGAAAATATTAATAAATGCGTTATTGAAGAATAATATAATTTGCACACAGAACTGTGCACGTATCATAAGTGTAGAGCTTGGTGCATTTTCACAGAGTAGACACATTTGTGCACCCAGATCAAGAAACATTAGAATAGCAGTTCTCAAACTTTTTGGTCTTAGGATCCCTGCACACCTGTAAAATTGATGAGTGGATAAATTAAATGTGTTGTGTGTATATAATGGAATATTATTCAGCCATAAAGAGAAATGAAGTACTGACACATACTGCAACATGAATGAACCTTGAAAACATTATGCTAACTGGAAGCAGCAACCAGACACAAACGGCCATATATCAAATGATTCCATTCATATGAAATGTCCAGAATAGGAAAATCTATACAGACAGAAAGATTAGTGGTTGCCTAGGGCTTGGGAGACTGGGGGAAATGGGAAGTGATTGCTAATGGGTGTGAAGTTTCTTTTTGGGGTGATGAAATGTCCTAAAATTGGTTGTTGTGCTGTTTGCACAACTTTGAATATACTAAAAACCAACGAATTGTTTACTTTAAATGGGTGAATTATATGGTATGTAAGTTATTTCTCAATAAAGCTGTTAAAAAATAGAATGAGGACCCCAAAGAGTTTGTTTATGTGGGTTATATTTATCGATATTTACTATATTAGAGATTAAAACTGAGAAATTTTTTTTTTTAATTTTTTTTTTCCTTTTTGTCTTTTTTTTTCGTGACCGGTAACGGGATCACAACCCTCGGTGTCACGCCCATACTGCGACCGGCAACGGGATCGCAACCCTCAGTGTCGTGCCCGCACCGCGCTCAGCCAGTGAGCAGACCGGTCTCTATATGGGATCCGAACCCTCACCGGGAGCGCCGCCGCACTCCCAAGCGCCGCACTCTACCAAGTGCGCCACCGGGCCGGCCCAAAACTGAGAAATTTTTTTTTTTTTTTTTAAAGATAACCGGTAAGGGGATCTTAACCCTTGACTTGGTGTTGTCAACACCACGCTCACCCAGTGAGCAAACCGGCCATCCCTATATGGGATCCGAACCCGTGGCCTTAGTGTTATCAGCACCGCACTCACCTGAGTGAGCCACGGGCCAGCCCAAACTGAGAAATTTTTAAAACACAATACACACATACACATTCCATCAGCCGTCAGAGCAGTGATGTCCTCGCATGTTCTGGAGCCTCTGGAAAACTCCACAGAATGTCCGTGGGTGTGTGAGAGTGAAAAAGGGCAAATAACATCTTTTTTTTTTTTTTTTTTTTAAAGATGACCAGTAAGGGGATCTCAACCCTTGGCTTGGTGTTGTCAGCACCACGCTCAGCCAGTGAGCAAACCAGCCATCCCTATATGGGATCCGAACCCATGGCCTTGGTGCTATCAGCACCGCACTCTACCAAGTGAGCCACGGGGCTGGCCTGCAAATAACATCTTAATATTATGATCAAAAGAGTTTGATCTCACAGACCCCACCCCGCCACCCCAGCCCCTGCCAAAGGGTCTCAGGGATCCCTGGACCACACTTTGAGCATCGCTGCCCTGGGTCTCCAGAAGCTCTTCTCGTGCGCCCCTCCTGATTACTTCCCTCACCAAGAATCACTATCTTTGGCTTCGACACCGTGGATTAGTTTTGCCTATCATCACTCTTTATATAAATATAATTGGACTGTGTATTCTCTATGCACCTGGCTTCTTTTGCTAAATATTACATTTGTGTGATGTGTCCGTGTTGTTGTATATAGTGGTAGCTTGTATATTCAATACTGTAGTGGTCACTCTGTGAATCTTCCACAATTTATTTATCCTGTTGATGGTCGTTTGGGATTTCAGTTTGGGACTTGTTTTAATCCGTTTTGTGTTGCTATAACAGAAACACCTGAGACTGGGTAATTTATAAAGGAAAGAGGTTTATTTGGCTTACGATTCTGGGACAGCTGCATCTGGCATGGGCCTCAGGCTGCTTCTACTCATGGCCGAAAGTGGCAGGCAGCCGGCGGGTACAAGCAGATCACACGGGGAGAGGAAGCAAGAGAGAGAAGGCAAGAGAGAGAGAAGGTGTCAGGGTCTTTTTAAGCAACGAACTCTCACAGGAACTAATAGAGCGAGAACTCACTCATTAATCACCCCTCCCCCAGGGAGAGCATTAATCCATTCATAAGGGACCCGCCGCCATGACTCAATCAGTTTCCAACACTGCCACATTGGAGATCAAATTTCCACATGAGTTTTAGAGGGGACAACACATCCAAACTCTATCAGGACTGTTATGAATAGTGCTGCTGTGAACATCCTTGTACTATCTGTTGGTGGACACACTTACACATTTCTCTTGGGTATACATAGGAGAGGAATTGCACCAGGTATAGGTGTGTACTTTACTAATGACTTCCCAAGTGTTTTCTGAGGGCTTGTGCCAGGACATTCTCATCAGCAGCATCTGAGTTCAGGTTGCTCCCCATCTTTGTCAACACTTGGTATTGCCTATTTATTTTAGCCATTCCGGTGGGTGTACAGTGGTAATATAATTATTTTTGTGATTACTAATGATCATTCTCTCCTCTCCAGAGGGTGGATCCCGGTTGGGCTCTAGCCCTTTCCTGTCAGAAGCCAATGCCGAGAGGATTGTTCAGACCTTGTGTACGGTTCGGGGGGCCGCCCTCAAGGTTGGCCAAATGCTGAGCATACAGGGTACAGCATGACCCTTGACTCCTGACCCTTGACCTCACTTTACCCCACCCCCACCCACCAACAAGATACTCACACAGGGTCCCCTCCTGGCCTCCTCCCTCACTGCTCCCTTCATCTGCTGTCTCCTAAGACAACAGCTTCATCAGCCCCCAGCTGCAGCGCATTTTCGAGCGGGTTCGCCAGAGCGCCGACTTCATGCCCCGCTGGCAGATGCTGGTGAGTGCCTGGTGGGGGAGGGCCAGCGACGAAGGCATGCTCCATCTCCCCACCACCTGCAGGGCTCTCTTGGCTTCATTGCTTTACTCCCTGTCTGACTCCGAGCCTCAGTCTCCCCACCTCTAATGTGGGGATCACCAGTTACACACCTCATAACATTGTTGTGATGATTAAATGAGAGGATGGTGCAGAGCACTTCGTCCAGTCCCAGGTACAGACACAGCACTCTGTCGAGGCAGCAAAGCACTGTAGTTAGGGGCCAGATTTTGTGGGTTCAAATCCTGTCTCTGCCACTTCCTACCTGTGTAATTTCAGACATGTGGCTTGACCTCTGTGTCTCAGTCACCTCATCTGGGAAATGGCAATAGTCATGGCCACACCCACATTATAGGGTTACATAAATTAGTATACACAGAGCACTTACAACAGCTCCTGACATACCAAGAGTGACATGCAGGTTTTAGCTGTGATTATTACTGTTTTTTTAATTCAAGGAGACTGTCTGTAAATAGATTGGCACAGTGCCTGGCACCAAGTGCCTAGGACACAAGCTGTTCCAATAAGTGGGTAAGGGTGTGGAATCCAAAATGCATCTACCTGCCTGCCTTCCCATCTGTTCTGCTCACTTGTCATGTGACCCCAGGCAGTTACCGCCTCTCTCTGATCCACTTTGAACAGGACCTGGCCCACAGGAAGCCCCTTGTAAACTTTAGCTCTTCTTTATCACATTAACTTTGAGTTAATGATACAATATAGAAGTAAAATAAAGGATTGTTATCAGTCTTAACTAGAAGTTCCCACAATAGCCCACACAGCTAGGGAGTATAGGCTCGGGAGACACAAGCTGAGCTGGGCCTCCCAGTCTACCAGCACCTGGCTGATCACCTCAGGCAAGGGACTTCTCTTTGAGCCTCAGTTTTCTCATCTGTAAAGTGGGGTAACAGCCAAGAGCTTAGCCCAGGGCCCAGAGTCCGGTGAGTGGTGGGGTTATTAACACATAAAGTGCTCAGTATAGGGAATGAACTCAGGTTCCTGTAACCATGATGATGATTGTTGTGATACTCTCCCCACCAGAGAGTTCTCGAAGAGGAGCTGGGCAGGGACTGGCAGGCCAAGGTGTCCTCCTTGGAGGAGGTGCCCTTTGCTGCTGCCTCAATCGGGCAGGTGCACCAGGGCATGCTGAGGAATGGGATGGAGGTAGCCGTGAAGATCCAGGTGAAAGTGGGGCCAAGCAGGGTGGGGGTGGGCACCCTGATGTCCCAGAGGAGTGACCCCACACTTCCCCACCTCCCCTCACAGTATCCGGGTGTTGCACAGAGCATCCAGAGTGACGTCCAGAACCTGCTGGCAGTGCTCAAGATGAGTGTGGCCCTGCCAGATGGTGAGATGCCCACTCTGCCACTGAGAGAAAATAGGGCTGGATGGAGGGAGGGCACAGGGCAGCATGTGCCTGTGTGTGTGAGTGAGAGCGAGTGTTTACATCAGTGTGTGTGAACCAGAAAGGAGGACACTGAGGCAGGGGGAACCCAGAGAGCATGAGTGTGTGTGACAGTGCCACAGAGAGACAGAAGCCTAAACTGAAATCCAGAAACAGACATGTAGAGGGTCTGCAGTCCAGAGAGAGGGACTATAGCTGTGAAAAAGGGGCTTGAAAGCAGAAAGTGAGAGTAAGCAGGACAGCATGTTTGTGAGAGCACATGAGAAAGCTCCTGAATAAGATGGAGCAGGTTGTGTGCTGTGTGTGAGAGAGAGGAGGGAGAGACAGGCCTACAAGTAAGCTTCAGAGGCAGAGAGCAATGTGAGAAAGTTCATGCAAAAAAGCGACAGAGAGGGCCGGCCTGGTGGCGCACTGCTAGAGTGCGCCGCTTGGGAAGCGCGGCGGCGCTCCCGCCCGAGGGTTCGGATCCCACATACAGACCGGTTCCCGCTCACTGGCTGAGCGAGGTGCGGGAGCAACACCGAGGGTTGCAATCCCGTTGCCGGTCCCCGGTCCGGTACGGG